ATATTGATTTAATTTTAATTATTAGTCAAAGCTGTGCAACACATTAACTAATGCAAGTTGTGCAAATAGTTAAGACATATACATATATGTATAATAAATAATGCCAAATAAATTGCGGCCCACTCTATTTGCCAAAGCAATATATGAGTGTATGTACGTGCATACATATATGTATGTATGTACTTGTATATAATATATACAATTATTTCGAGCGCTAATTATTTTTAAAGCACTATAAGTATGTATGTATATGTAGTATAGTATATATATATATATAGTATATATAGTATAGTATTTATTCCACTTGTTACCTGTGAGAAACTTCCCTGTAGGTGGTGACACTGCATGACGAAATGCACAAGAGTCCCCGCGAGATCTCATTTTCGGTAAACGGAGGAAGATACGAATTCTGTCGCCTGCCATTCGGCCTGAAAAATGCAGGAAGCTTTCCAAAGAGCCATAGATGATGTTCTAAGAGAACACATAGTTAAGATATGTTACGTCTATGTGGATGAGGTGATCATATTTTCAGAAGGTGAGGACGATCACGTTAGACATATTGAGACCATTCTAAAGACGCTAATATGAGAGTCTCGCGGGAAAAAACCAAGTTTTTTAAAGACAGCGTGGAATACCCCGGTTTCATAATTGCTAGGGGCGGAGCCAGGACGGACCCGGAAAAAGTCAGGGCCATACAGGAGTTTGCCGAACGAAAGAACTTGTTCAGTTAGAGCTCATGCCTGGGCTTAGCGAGTTACTATAGAGGATTCGTCAGAGATTTCGCCTCCATTGCGAGGCCATTGACGGACGCACTGAAAGGCAAGAACGGCTCAGTAAGTAAACAGTAAGCAAACACAAGAATATGGTGTCGGATACAACCAATAAAAACGAGCAGATTGAGATCATAACCGCTGAACATAATCGGGCACACAGAGCCGCTCAGGAAAACGTCAAACAGGTCCTTCGTGACTATTTTTCCCCAAAAATTAGCAAATTGTCTAGCGAAATTGTTACAAACTGTAGAGTTTGCAGTCAGGCGACATTTTTTCAACAGATAAAAAACTGTTTTTGACCAACCTTGACCAATTTTCCAAATTCGCCATCGTTTCGCCGATGACGTCAAGGGCAATAGTCGATGTCAGGGTACCTATAACTCAGTTGGTGAATTTGTTCCCAAATATCAGAACGACATATGGTGACAATGAGGCTGCGTTCAATTCGGAAACAATCACGTCTTTGCTTAAAAATAGCTACGGCATAGATGTCGTGAACGCGCCTCCCCTACACAGCTCTTCAAATGTTCAGGTGGAACATTTCCACAGCACTCTAACAGAGATTGTCTTAGAATTTACAAGAAAATCTACGAAACGGTAGAGTTGATCTTGACGGCAGCAGTGGAGTTCAACAAAACTTTGCACTCAGTCACTGATAAAACTCCAATTGAAGTCATACATCAGACGAGTTTCGCCAGGCCATACATGAAAGAATAGCAAAAGCTCAACAGGTTAACATGGACAGATGCAACTTGGCAAGAAAAAATAGAGTCTTTGATGTGGGTGAAAGAGTGTTTCTGAAAAATAATAAAAGGTTAGGCAATAAATTGAACCCATTGTGCTCTGAGGAAAAAATACAGGCAGACATGGAAACGTTGCGACGAAATTAAGTTGGAAAGAGAAATTCGTAAGCTTTAAATCAAATCATTGCAAATTGTACTATGATATTTAGAAGCTCCACAGTATGAGCTCAAAGTTGAATTTTGTTGCCGGTGCAATATTTGGCTAATAAAACTGCCAAGTTCTTAGCATAAAAAACATTTAATGATACATTTATTTTGAATAATCTTATATTTTAATTTTTCACTAAAAAATACAAAAAAATATTTTAAGTTATTATTTTATTATTAAATTTTGCATTATGCAGAGCCATGTTCATAAAAAATCACTTTTTTCGGTTTTTGAAATAATAACCGTGAATTATTTTTAAAAATACTATTCACTGCTTATTATATACAACTGACTGCTTTTTAAGTCATAACTAGAGTATTGCGCTGCACCAAAACTATGGGTAATATATACCATTTCTGTACATATACCTAGGATAACAAACAAAATCACAATTTAGTAATGGGTCAAAAAGATTGCAAGCCCTTCGTCTCATATTTTAAATTACACTAGCTGTAATAAATGTTATGCATCATTTTGGTTGCACTTTATTAAATATGGATCAAATAGGACCGATTAGGTATATTTTGGTATCCATCATGCCAAATACAATGTTCCTAATAGCTGTTACAGCGAATCTACCTGTTATGCATTCTTCTTCTTATACGCGACAGCGCCTTTTTCGCTGATTTTTTCCGAAGTTCCGGCAATCTTTTTGTTCTGGTGCACACCGGCGGATCCGGGCGGTTGAAAGTTTTCAGGGTTAGGTAAAGTAATATCTCGGGAACATATTTTGAAAATATGGGAGAGGTACTAAAGGGTACTTTTTTTTTTATTTTCCACCAAAGTTGAAAAATACTCTAAAACAGGTAGTTTGCTAAAAATCATTTTGTAGAGAACTACCATTGCAAAAGGGACAATTTTAATTAAATATGCATACAATTAATGCAATTAGCAATACAAATCAAAACATTAATGATGACTTTGAATGCATATATCTCATTAACTATAATCCAATTTCTTTAAGAGTAAGATGTTCTTAATCTGTGGAAAATTTACCTTAAATACGTGTATTTAAAGTCCCCAAAGCGTTCATGAAAATTTTGATTTTCGAAAGCTGTTTCGGCCTAAAGCCCCACAGAATTTCCAGAAGATTATATGCCTTAGATTTGGAGAAAATATGAATGTCCGAGTCCCAACATGGATGACGGCGTCATAATCGTCATTGAGAGCATGGCTAGGATTAGTACAAACGACGGCCCTGAGATATCATGTGATGTGAGCGCTCGGCTGTTATCAATGGCACCAAATATATGGTCGGCTCGCCTATGACTTTTGCAGCGTATTATTTAGAATTAAGCTTTTCAATTCTGTATCAGCGTTAAGAAAGTATAATACTTAGTATTTGCTCTTTTAGATATTGGTTTATATTTAAATATAAATAATATAGAAAAATGTAAAAAGAAAAAAAGAGATGTATATGGAACGATACCAATTATGGTAAATTTTCGTATGGTACGAAAAATTAAAGAAAGCCCCATGCTATCAGCCCCAAATTAGCCGTACAAATAAAGGATGAACTGGGCAAGAAAACCTCTGCACAAACCCTCCTGCGTGTGCTGGGGAAATACGCTTTCAATTGTCGACAACCTTTAGGAAGCCGTTTATGTTTACAAGAAAGAAGATGTACCAACTTTAATTTGTCAAGGATTTCGTTCTGAAGCCAATCTCAAGATGGAACGACGTAATTTTTGCAGACAAGTCCGGAGTCTGGAAATTGGTTTTCAGGAAAGAATCATGGATAAGAATACCAAATTGAAAACTAATTTGCTCCAAATTACCACATTGTTAGGTTTGGGGATCTTTTTCCATTTTACCAAGGCAATGACCTAAACCATAAATCGGGAATTGTGCAGACCTGGCTTATCTGGAACTGTCCACACGGTATGATTCCGCCAGCTCAGTCACCAGACTTGAATATCATATCAAATTTTTTGGGAATTTTGGATTTAGCTATAAGCAAACGGCAAATTTAAAACATAAATGACCCAAAGAAGGCGATATTGGAAGAATTGCAAAAAACACCATTAGAAACTACAAACAAATTTCTGGCTTCTATCAATAACCATATGAAAACCCTCATTTAATATAAAATGGGCCAAACCAAATATTAAATATTAATTTAAAATACATTTTTTTAAGTCTGAAGCCACTGCACGAAATAAGCTGTGACCTAAAATTGCCGTGTCTTTATAGTTTTTGTTATTTTTTTAATTAATAGAAAACAATGCAATCCCTTTTAAAATATATATTAAATTATCAGCAAATTGGCGTTTAAATTTGTTGGCTATTGCTCATATTTTGCCGAAAATGGCATTTCAAAGTAAATTTTTGCGCTTGCACGAAATAAGCGGTGACTCACTGTATATGGAATAACACACACACAAGCAAACCGCGATAGCGAGACTACTCACCTGTGCTAGCCAAAGTGAGGTTTAAAATATCATATGTTTTGCCTGGAGATTTGATTAAAAACACTAACAAAGACATTTTTTGACATAAAAAAAATCATTGGAATCATAAGCTTTATAGTTTTTTTGAACAATCTGCATCAAAAATATTATTAAATTAGCAAATTACTAAATATCTGGTTAAAACAGTATCATTCACACACAGCATCCAAAACAACAGTACAATGGCGATGCCCGATTGGTCCAAAAAGACAATTCATTTTTCGAACATCATATTTTTCTGAGTTGTCTTATTTTGTGAGCCAAACGAAAGTTCAAAATAAAATGTATATTAGACACAATTCTGTCATGAGAATTGCATAGCTTGACGGAAAATAACTCTAAATTTTATTTTGGTGTGTTTTGTGAGTTAGGCGTGTGCAGTTTAATTATTTAAAAAATTCTTTAAAATTATTTACCAATTTACCAAAAATGTAAACACCAAAAGAAAAATAAATATGGAAATACGGAATTGCCAGATTTAGTTTCGTGCGCTTACAACTCGATCGAGGCTGTTAGACTATGTCATCGTCAGTCAGCTGTTGCTGACAGCTGGCATATGGAGGGAAAGTAAATAAAAACTCGAAGTTTTGTGGCGCTGACGAATTTTGTAAGAGATTTGAAAAATAACAGTAGTTTAAGTTTCTAGAGTTTTCAGTTGCACCGCTGATAATTACAATTGTTTTGGTTGGTAGAGATTTCTGTAAAACCTGCTTGAAGTGCATACTTACCAAAAAAAAGTGGTATCGATAAAATAACCAATCAAGTATATGATATTGTTAAAGAATCGATAAATACAATTTTTGGTAGTCCGAGCGCATTAGTTTGCAAAAAAGGCGCGAGTTTGCACTTTGGAAACGGAGTTGTTTATCATGAATGTGTAGCTATGGGAATTTTAGGTTTATCTAAGCTTATTGCCGATTTGGCTCCACAAGCAATACGAGAAAGTGAAATTAAACATTTTTTTGGTATGTTCAGTAAAGTGCTCATTGCCTTAACATTGTACATTAAAGTTTCGCTTATGTTTTAGGCCGGAAGGTGGCCATCGATGCTTCTATGTGTCTCTACCAGTTTCTTATTGCTGTGCGATCAGAAGGGGCACAACTAGCCACTGCTAATGGAGACCCCACTTCGCACCTAATGGGAATGTTTTATCGGACCATTCGCCTGCTCGAGAATGGTATTAAGCCAGTATATGTTTTTGATGGGAAACCACCTGATTTAAAATCTGTAGAGTTGGCGAAACGAGCATCACGTCGTGAAGAAGCCGAAAAAGCACTTAAAGTAGCTACGGAAGCTGGAGATGTAGCCGAAATTGAAAAATTCAATCGTCGATTGGTGCGTGTTACCAAAGAACATAACCGCGAAGCAAAAGAACTTCTGCATCTAATGGGAGTACCATTTGTGGAGGCGCCCTGTGAGGCTGAGGCACAGTGTGCCGCTTTAGTGAAGGCTGGTAAGGTTTACGCCACAGCCACTGAGGACATGGATGCATTAACCTTTGGATCTAGCAAGCTTTTGCGATATCTGACATACAGTGAAGCTAGAAAAATGCCAGTTAAAGAATTTAGCTATGATAAATTGCTTCAATTGCTAGAGTTAACAAGTTCTGAATTTATTGATTTGTGCATTTTGCTCGGTTGCGACTACTGCGAGAGTATTAAGGGCATAGGTCCGAAAAGGGCAATTGAGCTGATTACATCTTATCGAGATATTGAGACTATTTTAGAAAATATAGACCCAAAAAAATACACCATACCTGAAAATTGGAACTATAAAGTAGCCCGAGAATTGTTCATATCACCTGAAGTCGCTGATGCCAGCAGTATAGAACTAAAATGGTCGGAGCCAGATGAAGAGGGACTAGTTAAGTTCTTATGTGGTGACCGCCAATTTAATGAGGATCGTGTGCGCGCTGGTGCAAAGAAGATATTAAAATCAAAAAACGCTCAAACGCAAGTGCGTCTGGAAAGCTTTTTTAAGGTGTTGCCTAGCACATTAAGTGGCGATAGAAAGCGCAAGGCTGATGAGGTAAAAAAGAGCTCAAATAATAAGAAACAAAAAGGGAACAGTAGTGGCAGAAGACCCAAATAAATTTGGTTTAATTACAAATACAAGTTGTAAGATTTTTTAATGCAAACAAATAAAATATAAATTTATAAAAGTTCACAGGCTTGCATAAATTTATATAGTAAATAAACTTTTTATAATTCGATAAAATCCAATTCCATAACGGTGACTTGTAAATTTGTAATATGTTAATTAACAGTGAACTCGGGGAAACGTTTCAATGACAGCATACAAAATTCGGCTCCTGTTAGCCATTCTCTATCCAAGGAATATTTCGTTGCACTGCAATACGAAAGTAAATGTATATCCATACGTTTAGATTTTGTGCGTTCCATTAAAAAAAGCCAATGCAAAATATGAAAAACATCACCCTTTCGAACCAAAAAATCTAATTTTTATAGCCTGTAACCAAAGGGTGAAAGGCTATACTAGTTTTGTGCGAATGTATGTAACATACAGAAGGAGGCGTGATAGACCCCACAAATTATATATATTCTTGATCAGGATGGCTAGGCGAGTCGAAATAGCCATGTCCGTCTGTCTGTCCGTCCGTCTGTATTAACGCAAGGATCTCAGCAAGTACAAGAGCAAGAATAACCACACTTGGTATCCAGATTCTCCTAAGTCCGAGAAAGTACGAGTTTGAGTTTTTTTCTGATACACTCCCCCGCAATATGTTTTGCATAACTCCTGTAATTCTTGGAATTTTGAACTAATATTTGGCCATTTTTGGTGCGAGGTACAGGGTATTTAAGAATTGAGCCTGCTCGACTTTAGCATTCCTTTCTTTTTTGTATTACCATCTTTTAAGGTAATTAAGATACGTGTTGCTTTTTGGCAATGTCATATAGCTGTCATAGAAACGATGACCTATAGGATAGGCATATGTGAACATGACGCGTCCAAATCCATGTATTTACCAAAGTGGATGGTAGTAGGTGTTGTTGTACCCTGTACCCAAAGAGTATACTAGTTTTGTGTGAATATACATATGTGACACACAGAAGGAGGCGTGGCGGACCCCACAAAGTATATATATATTATTGGTCAGTATGTGTAGACGAGTAGTAGCAGTAGTAATAGCCATGTCCGTCTGTCTGCCGGTATAACCGCAAGAGCAAGAAAACTTGGTACTCAGGTTCTCCTGGGCCTTAAGCAGATCAAGATTGTTTATTTTTGTTGATGCACCCGCACTCCCCCACAATTCGTGTTTTCTTCCATAACTCCCGTTATTTGATGACTATGAGTCCGTATGTCAAGTTTCATTACGATATGATATGAAGAAAGTTATAGCCATAAATATACTCTCTGCCGAAGCTCTGCCGGAAGCTGTTGTTGTTGTTGCTGCGTTGTCTTATGACACGCATAGACACGATGATGTGAATGTATGCTGTTGAAATTGTACATAAACATGTCTTCACTTATTTACATATGTATGTATTGAATACTTATACTCTGTACATGAAATATACAAGAGTATACTAGTTTTGCGGGAGCTGAAAAATGTAACAGTCAGACAGAGGTGTGGGAGACCCCACAAAGTATATATATTCTTGATCAGCACGACAAGACGAGTCCTAGCCATGTCTGTCCGTACACCTGGATCTCAGAGACTATAAGAAAATATGAAAAAAAAAAGACTTATGTGTGTACGCTGTGCAAGTTTGTTTTATTTTTTTGATTTTGTCCTCCACTTCCCCACTATGGGGGTTTCCCAATTTTCCATTCGTATAATATCCTATATCTCAGAGACTATAAAAGCTAGGAACCCCAAATTTTAGTCCAAGATGCCTTATGTGAAAACGCAGTTGTGTATTTTGGAATTTCCCTCCCTCCCGTATTTCTTAGAATTTTTCATTGCAATTCGGAAAGTCTGCCCAGTTAGTGATTATGAGCCCGTGTGTCAAGTTTCATAATGATACCCCGATTTAACAGGAAGTTTTAGCAATATATATAACCTCAGGTCAAGCAGTGCCCGCAGCTGTTGTTGTTGTTACTGCTTTGCACAGACACACCCATACACGCATAAGTATTCTACACATATGGATAGAGTATTTCAAAGAGTATTTTCTTTTTTGTGGAGAGTACACGGTGTTTTATAGCATTGTAGCATTCTCTTTTGTTTTATCTTCTTTTGTCCTTCAGAAGTGCAGCTCGTTGATGTCGAGGGATACAAATCGGGTTGGTCATACATTACACCTGGCCATCCGTTTGTCCCTTCGTTGCCAATTTAAATCTCTATATATATAAAACAGTTTGTCCTGACTGACTAACTGACTGATTGGCGATGAACGCACAGCTCAAACGGTAAAAGCTATGAAGCTGAAATTTTGAGACAAGTTTCCTTTCACAGTGAAGTGAGTACTAAGAGGCGCTAAGCAGTTTTGGCAAATTCTAACTCCAAAGGGGGGAAACGGGCTCCAAAGAACGAATTCAAAAAATACTGCATACTTGGTTTTTCAAAATTTTTCCTGGAGCATGAAAAAGGTGGCTTTTTCCGTCGAAAAATTGAAATACAATTTGAGCTCAAGTATCCTATCATAATGAGGGTGAGTGAGGTGAGGTGAGACTAAGAAGGGATTTTGGTAAATTCGATCTCCAAAATTTGTTTAAAAAATCCGCATTTTTCCACCAATCAACTTCAAATTTGGTTTTATAATCTATAATGGCATTTTAATATTTATTCAATTTTTAAAATGAAAATAAATGTATTTATAAATTTGGTCCGATCAATTTCAAATTTGGGTAATGTTATTTACGTAACTAAATCCACAACTTTGCTTTCAAGGATTTTCAAAATACAAGGTGTTTTCCAAAGTAAACAGGACTTTTTGAAGCTAGCGTCCCCTGTGGCGCTATCTATATGTCGACTGCTGCGTTAGAATCTGCTATCTTTATCGATTGTCCAATGAGAATGTCATGACAGTTCATCGATTGGAAGTTATTGCGTTTTAAGTGTCAGTATGTGTTATCGGTGCGAAAATGAGCTTCGAACAAAGAGCCAACATTAAATCTTGTTTTAAAATTGGTAAAACTATCTATCCCGTAGCAGAGTGCACGAGTGGTTTCAACGTTTTCAAAGTGGTCGTGAGGACATAAATGACGATCAATATGTGGGCCAATCAAAATTCGTGATCACCGAAAATTCTATCGAAACTGTGCGTGAATTCATCAAAAATCAGCCAAAATCATCATTGAAATTGTTGGAAATGGAATTGAACATCTCCAAAACATCGATTTATCGCATTTTGACCGAACATTTGGGCTTACGAAAGGTGTGTGCACGGTTTGTTCCTCACAAATTGACTGACGACCAAAAATTGCTCAGAATCCAACATTCGAAGGACATCATTAAAGAGGTCAAAAAGGACAAAAACTTCCTTTAAAATATTGTGACTGGTGACGAAACGCCAGAGTGCTGAATGGAAGGCACCGGACGAGCCGAAACACAAACAAGTAAAAAAGCTAAACTTTGAAATACTCTGTACATATGTTTACAATAATTATAAAAAAAAAAATTATGAAAATTAAAAAAAAAAATTTTGATCGCTTGAGCAGCGCTGCAGCAGCAAATATATTTATGACTATAACTTCTTGTTAAATCGGTCTATCATAGTGAAACTTGGCACACGGACACATAATAACCAACTGGGGGTATTTCCATAATTTTATAATTTTAGTTCGAAATTCCAAGAATTACGGGAGCTACGATTTGTGTGGGAGAGGGGAGAGGGAGGGAAATTGAAAAATATACATTTTCTGCGTATTCACGTAAGGCATCTTGGACTAAAATTTGGTGTTCCTAGGACTTATAGTCTCCGAGATATAGGCGATTATACGAATGGAAAATCGGGAAAACCCCCATAAGGGGGAAGTGGGGGGGAAATCAAAAATATAAAACAAACTCGTATAGAATACACACATAAGGCATCTTTGTGCAAAATTTGGTGTCTCTAGCTCTTATAGTCTCTGAGATCCAGGTGTTCATACGGACGGACAGACAGACAGGGCTAGATCGACTCGTCTTGTCATGCTGATCAAGAATATATATACTTTTTGGGGTCTGCCACGCAAATGTGAATTTAAAATTAGGATATACTCCTTTAAATATTCCCCTTTTTGCACAGAGTCCATCTTAAAACGTTTCGTTATCTCTATATATATCAAACAAATTGTCCTCACTGATTGGTGTTCAACGTACATCCCAAAGGGTAAAAGCTAGGAAGCTGAAATTTGGACTCAAGTATCATAGTATCCATCACTGCGTAGGTGTGCACTTTTTTGGGAAATTCGAGCTCTAAAGGGGGGAAAACGAGCTTTAAAACAAGAAAGGAATGCTAAATTCGAGCAGGCTGAACTCAAAACAAGTAAAAAAGCTAAAGTCGGGTGTCCCGACTTTGAAATACTCTGTACATATGTGTACAATAATTATAGAAAATAAAAAAATTAAGAAAATAAAAAAAAAAATTTGATCGATTTTACCTCTCTCGGTATTCGAACTCACGTAAAGGGTGTATAATTGCACATTTACATAGCAATTGCGTCTGTGTGAGTGTATGTATGCCTATGCGCATCTATTCGTGTCTGTGTAAGCATTTTCGCAGTCAACCAAACAGCAACATCAACAACAGCCGCGGGCAGCGCTTGAGCAGCGCTGCAGCAGCGCTGCATCAGCAAATATATTTATGGCTATAACTTCTTGTTAAATCGGTCTATCATAATGAAATTTGGCATACGGACACATAATAACCAACTGGGGGTATTTCTAAGAATTACGGGAGTTACGATTTGCGGGGTAGAGGGGGGAGGGAGGGGAATTCCAAAATATACATTTTCTGCGTATTCACATAAGGCATCTGGGACTAAAATTTGGTGTTCCTAGGTCTTATAGTCTCCGAGATATAGGCGATTATACGAATGGAAAATCGGGAAAACCCCCATAGGGGGGAAGTGGGGGGGAAAATCAAAAAAATAAAACAAACTCGTATAGAATACACACATAACGCATCTTCGTGCAAAATTTGGTGTCTCTATCTCTTATAGTCTCTGAGATCCAGGTGTTCATACGGACGGACAGACGGACAGACAGGGCTAGAT